ATTTTCTGGGAACACAAAATACTTAAAATCTAAGCACGCCAACTGGAATGTTTTATCGTCCAAAGATGCGTGATTAAAAAGACAAAATGCAACAATTTTATGTCTCAACAAGCAGGCCTATTATAAAACAATTACCGATATATACAAAACAACTTAAAAAAATCTGTCTTTACATAATACAGTAGCACAGTTTGGATTTAATAAGATCAGACTTTATTTTTGGTGACTTTAGTCTATTTGAAACCGTATACTACCCAATATATTTTCATTATTTACACGTCAAATTGCACACAAGGATTGACAATTTTCAATGTTGTTGTTTGTTAGTTGTATTTTACGTCCGCTTCCACCGAGGTGATATCGCAGACAATCACAATTTTCAATAAACCAGAACGCCATTTATTTAACAACTCTTTCAGGTCCTCGTATATTTAAGACAACTAAAACGAGATTTTGACCTTTAAAAAAACCGAAACGCACACGATTGTGATATATTAATAGTTTGTCCTGTATTTCTTTATGAAAAATTGAAAACGAACATGAATCGTTATGAGAGTGATCCATGGTCGAGTTTCTATCATTTGCTTTTATTGCTAATATTAAACGTCATAAGACCCTTTATTTTGAAAATTTTTTTTTTCTATCATAATTCGCTAACACAACTGTCTAGAAACAAACAAACCAGTATGCACTTAAAGGGGCTATCCCATTTTCACAAAATCGGAAATAAAAGTCGGGGTACGTATGAAATTTAAGCGCCAAAATATAGAGGAATGGTGTATTTACCTTGTCTCAAAATTCCAGCTCAAAATATTGAGTCGTTTGGACGTGAACGTCAAAACCGCTTATCCGGACACGTAACCGTTCTAAGATTTCGGGTCAATTGTTTCGTTGGGTGACCTGATAACCTATTATCGTTCCTTTAGAGGCCAAAACAGTGCGAAATGCATGTGCTGTATTTGATAACGAACGGTAAATTTCCCCTGCACGTTATTTTTATAAAATAAAAGTCTGGTTTTATCCAGACACCGTATAATACAGCTTGGGACACAGTTTTATTCTCCAAAATATAATCCAACCTCGTGGGTTTTCTCCGGGTCCTCCTGTTTCCTCCCACTGCTAAAGAACCCTACGCACAAGCGAATTATGAAAATAAAATTGAAGCATATGCTTGTTCCTGAAATGACCTAGTTTATGTCGAGTGGACGTTAACCTCATTCCTCTCTCCTCTTCCTCTCCAAAATATAATAGAGATTGGCTCTTTAAAATACAAACACAAATATTATGAAAAAGTTATCAGTAAAACTATTAGCTAACATGATTATAAAAACCGATTACAACCTAACTGCTGTTGTTCGATATCGATTTACCATGGGAAATAATCGTTTTAAGATAACTTTTAGCTGAAATGTTTCAGAATAAGATTTAATTAGCGGTATGCTAGCTTCCATAAACAATAAAACGATGACAATATCAAGAGTTTCTTCTACTTCAGCTTATCATGATCTGACCTCCGATAAGATGTGTCAAGTTAAGTTTGTTATTAAGAGAAGATATTTCCTGAAGATAACATAAATAATACCGCCATTAACAAGCACCTTGCATAATATGGGGATCAGAAACAAATATTACGCGCGATTCTAGTTTTAAAAAGAGACAATAATGTCCCCCCATGAATAATTTGGAAACTCTAATGAGTGAATCTCACGAATCGTAGTACCATAATTCAAATTTGGTTTTCTTGACCACAGACTAAACCCATACCTTTGCGTTAGCAACTAATAATTTTGAATCTGGAGAGACAGAGAGGGTGAGGTGGGGGAGGGGCTGGATGGGGGGGGGGGGGGTGTTAACGTCCACTAAGAAACAAATGTTTAGACTTTCAATAGTACACTTGTGCGTAGGTGTCTTTTAGCCGTGGGAGGACCAGGAAAACTCTATGTGCGAGAGAAAGGGGGGGGGGGTAACGTCCACAAACTAGGTCATTTCGGGACTAACATATGGTTCAATTTTTCAATTTTATTTCAATTATTCGCTTGCGCGTAGGGGTTTTTAGCAGTGGGAGGAAACCCACGAGGTTGTACAGGCGACCCTACTCCTTGTCACGTACAACCGGGGAATTGAAACCACTCCAGTTGACTCAATGACAGACGTTATGATACAAATCCTACGCGCTAACCATTCGGCCATCCAAACCCCCTCCAAAGGAGAAACAGATTGTTGATCGTTCATTCTAAAATTGTTTTTAAAGAAGAGGTCGGCAAACAACTGGAGTGATCTGATCAAACATAGACACGATTTAAAGGTCTTCTCAATCAGTAAACTAGTTTCTGTGTTCAAGAAAAATGTTCCACAAATGAATAGAAATAAAAGGAAATGTTTAAATAATGTTGATTACTTATCTACAGGGTGTTGACCACATCGATTGATAGGCCACGTCAATTGGAATTTAGGTTCTGATGCTAGGTTTCCACTGTTGTGCGATGCGTGGCTATTGGATTGTCCCGTTCCCACAGTCGTGCGATGCGTTGCGATAGGATTGTTCGTATTGAGTCCACGATCTGCTACGTGCAAATACCTTCGGATACGTTTCGATACGATCAAGACGATTGCTACGACTGACTACAATATATAATAAGACCTGATAGGATCCTCATGATTAGTCCGCGATTAAAGGAAAGGAAAGGAAATGGGGTTTAACGTCCTACTGTTTTGCTCCGAACTGGGCTAATGAAGACGGGCATACGCCATACAGTGTGCTATGAGGGAAATTTTGCCCGGACAGCGGCACTACGGCCTACTCTTATATCGAATTCCAACTGTCAAGGGATCTTTAACGTGCACGCCAATGTGTACACGGGACCTCGGTTTTCCGTCCCATCCGAACGACTAGACAGCTGTCCTTGTCAGCCCCTCCGTCCTGCATCACTGACAAGGGAGAACCACGCCGGAAAATCTGGATGAACTTTCTCGGCCAATGCAGGGATCGAACACCCGACCTCCAGGCTAGCGAGCCAGCGCCTTACCCACTTAGCCACCGTGATCCCCCTAGTCCGCGATTAAAACCACGATTTCAATCGTAGCACGAATCGTGATAGAGAGAGAGAGAAATGGGGTTTAACGTCCACTCGACACAAACTAGGTCATTTCGGGACTAACCTAACATATGGTTTAATTTTATTTCAATAATTCGCTTGCGCGTAGGGGTCTTTAGCAGTGGGAGGAAACCGAAGGACCCGGAGAAAACCCACGAGGTTGGACAGGCGACCCTACTCCTTGTCACGTACAATCGGGGATTCGAAACCACGCCAGTTTACTCAATGACAGACTTTATGATACAGCGCGCCCACGCTAACCATTCAGCCATCGACCCCCCCCCCCCCCCACGAATCGTGATAGTGGGATCCTAGCATAATGAAATGAAGTGGGGTTTAACCTCGTACTGGTCTGCCCCAACTGGGACAATGGAGACGGGTAGACGCCAAGCATACAGTGTGTTATTAGGGATATTTTGTCTGGACAGTGACTCAACTGACAATGGATCTTTTAAGTTTACGTCAATATTGTGTACACAGGACTTTGTGTTTTTGTCCCGTCCGAACATCTTTACGTTGTCTGTTGTCAGACCCTATGGCCTGTACCACTCACAAGGGGGAGCCAAACCGACGAACTTTCTCGGCCAATACCGGGATCGAACACGGGACGTCCAAGGTTATCGAGCCAACGTCTTACTCACTGAGCAACCGCGCACAACAATCCAATGTGTTATTTATTGATAAAACCCCCCAAAGAACTACATATTAAATTTGCTTGGCCTTCTGAGGAGAAATTAAAAACTAAAGTTGCTCTTCCATAAAAGCTTTTGGTTCCAAATATTGATCTTTGAATTGGGTGGGTTATTTAATGATAAAACCCCCGAAGAAATCAAAAATAGACGTATGTGGCCTTAAGGGAGAAATAAAAAAAAAACAAGAGGTATTCAGTTACTCTTCTCAAAACTTTTAGTGCCAAATATTTAAGTTGTGAAATTGTAACTGCACTGAGTGGGTTATTTACACCCCACCCCCGGAGAATCAAAATAGACGTATTTGGCCTTTTGGGGAGAAATAAAAAAAACCCCAAGAGTATTCAGTTGCTCTTGTCAAAACCTTTTTAGTGCCAAATATTTAAGTTATGAAATTGTAACGGCACTGAGTGGGTTATTTACACCACACCCCCTGAGAATCAAAATAGACGTATTTGGCCTTATGGGGAGAAATAAAAATTAAACAAGAGGTATTTAGTTGCTCTTGTTAAAACCTTTTTAGTGCCAAATATTTAAGTTATGAAATTGTTACAACACTATGCTGGGTTATTTAGAAGAACTAAACATTAATTTGTTTGGCCTGATAGTATACGATGATTATGGGGAGAAATTATTCTTGTCAGTTAACATGTAGAGAGATCTAAATAAATCCCATGCAGTCATCAATCAACCAACAGATTGCTCAATAAAAACACATCTAACTTGTGTTTCGACATGGAAACCATTCATTATTATTCGAGAAGCTTTGATAAAATTCAGGTTACAATAAAGCACTTCTTAAATGAAAGCCAGAAAGAAATTCGAAAGAGTTTTTTTTTAGACAAGAAATCCTTGATGATTTAAAGAAAAGGGAAATGGGGACAATACGGACATCTTGTTGAAGGACAAATGTCGTCATTTTAGAATCACAGTGAATGTACTTTATGTCAGCTTTCAGCACAGAACCCTTAATAGTGAATAGAGTCTTTGATAACATATTAGTTAGATCTATAACAGAAATTATAGAAGCTTAGAAAACGAAGTCTATAGCCGTGAGACACAGTTGACCAATAAACCCTTCACGGTTGTCGATTCACTGACAGCCAACAAGATTGCAACCAGCACTCCAAGTGATATGGAAAGCGTTTGGTGACAGTACGTCTACTTAGAAGTTCGGTTTTGTGAAGAGAGGTGATTTTTTTTTATATTGTGAAGGCCAGTTTCAAATAAATTAAGCGTATAACTCACATGATTTGTGGTATTTGCCTTTATTAAAAGTTTCAACGGAAAGATGGTGTATAGAGGAAGAGACGTGCTTCTCGAATGTGAAGATCACAACAGCTTCTGGTAAGTAAAATATATTATTTATTGTATCTTTTGGGAGTTGAGTTTACACAACCAAACAAATATGTTAATATATTTAAATTGTTGTTGTTCTTAGTGTTTAACGTCCGCTTCAACCGAAGTTAATATCGTAGACAATTTGTCATGTTTTCATTTTTATTATCATAGCGCACACTTAAGGGTCTTTTCTGTGGGCAAAATTTCCCTGATTAGCCCAGTCGGAGCATAAAGGTATGACATTAAACCCCATTTCATTTCATTTTTTTTTCTTTTACGTGCACACCAATGCGCACACGGGTGGACCCCGGTTTTCATCCAATCCAAACTACTAAACATATTTTACAATACAAATACTGAAGGGAATTGATTTATTTTAGACATATATTAATTTTAGGGATTCAAAGAGGGGGAGAGAGAGAGAAAGAGAGAGAGAGAGAGAGAGAGAGGGGGAGAGAGAGAGAGTGTGTTAACGTCCACTCGGCACAAACTAGGTCATATGGTTCTATTTTAGTTCAATAATTCGCTTGCGCGTAGGGGTCTTTTGCAGTGGGGGGAAACCGGAGGACCCGGAGAAAACCCACGAGATTAAACAGGCTACCCTATTCCTTGTCACGTACAACCAGGGAATTGAAACAACGCCAGTTGACTCAATGATATAACGCGCACGCGTCATCCTTTCGGCCATCTAACCCTCCTTTTAGGGATTCAATTTTCAAGAAACAACCCCTGAAACAACATGTAGAAGCTTTTAAAGTGAAACCAATTTGGAATATATGAAATATTGATACAGTTTTATTTCTAAAACGTTTATACAAAGGTTGTGTTTGCTATAAAAATACCAGAATGTTTGATTAATCAACAATGTTTGATTAATCAACATTAACACTTATTTAGTCTTAATCTAAACTAAATTAAAGATATTCGATTTGTCCAAATATTTAGGATTCGCGAGAATCTTCTATATTTCGGGATAAAAATGCGGGTCTATGACCTTGTATCCTTATTTTTACACCACGCTCTAAGGAAAAAATGGATTACAGCGATATTTATCGAAAACAAAATATATTTTTCAAATAGACGCTCAAAAAGGAAAACAAAATATGCAAAATAAATATATGTGGAAGAGATATAAATAATTTGAATGGACATTTTGTATTTATAATTATTCGGAGCCACGGAGGCTAAGTGGGTAAGACGTTGGCTCACTAAAAATTCATCAGGTTTTTCGGACGTGGTTTCTCCTTGTCAGTGGTGCAGGACGGAGGGCCTGACAAGGACAGCTGTCTAGTCGTTCGGATGGAACGAAAAACCGAGGTCCTGTGTACATATTGGCAGTTAAAATTCGATATACGAGTAGGCCATAGTGCCGCTGGAAGGGCGAAATTTCCCTCCATAGCACACTGTATGGCGTATGCCCGTCTTCATTAGCCCAGTATAGGAGCAGAACAACATGACGTTTTAAACTCCATTTCATTTCATTTATAATTATTCGTTTCTACAGCTTTATTTCATGTGACGTTCTTGTGCTTGTATTGACCTCCTTTATTACGGAAATGAAATCTTTACTGAACCAGTAAATTTGACGATGAGTATAATTAAAGTTATTTCCCCTGTTTCACGATTTAACAGCACTGGGAATACTGTAGCTATCAAGCTGGTTATAAGAGACTAATGTTCAGTATAAAACCGAAGCTATTATACCAAGACTATTGCTCCTTATAATGATGTTATCTGCTGGTTATTAGTGACTACTTTTACTTATTATAACGATTATGTCTGCTGGTTATTAGAGTCTACTATTACGTATATTATAATCACATAATCTGGTTATTAAAGACTACTTATACCTATTATAACAATGCTTCTGCTGGTTATTAAAGACTATTGTTACTTATTATAACAATGGTATCTGGTTATCAGAGACTATTGTTACTTATTTTAACGCAGGTATCTCGTTATCAGAGACTATTGTTACTTATTATAACGATGGTATCTGGTGGTTAAAGACTATTGTTATTATAACGATGGTATCTGGTTATCAGAGACTATTGTTACTTATAACGATGCTTCTGCTGGTTATAAAATACTGTTGTTACTTATTATAACAATGGTATCTGGTTATTAGAGGCTATTGTTACTTATTATAACGATTATGTCTGTGGCGTGCAGGCGTTTGGTGATGCCCAGGGCCAACTCGTTGGGTGTATACATAGGGCCTAGTACTCGTGCATAAGGCCTAGTACTCATATATAGGGCCTAGTACTCATATATAGGATCCAGGATTCATGCACAGGGTCTAATACTCATGCATAAGGCCCAGGGCTCATGCACAAGGCATAGTACCCATGGATAGGACTTAGGACTAATGTATAGGGCCCAGGATTCATCCATTGGGCTTGGGACTAATGCATAGGGCCCAGGACTCTTGCATAGGGCCCAGGACTCATCCACGGGGCCTAGTACCCATACACTGTGATAAAGGAAGACATTTTCAATGTGTAAAAACAGATGTAACAAACTTTTATTCAAATTGATTGGTTGGTCCTGTAAGAGGATGCGCGGGACCGTTTCTAGAGGTTGGGGGGGGGGGCTGCAGAACGTTTCGCCCCCCCCCCCCCTCCCCCAGTGAAAAAATTGTCGACCATTGATATATATTGTCCGTCAAATTTAGCGCACCCCTGAGAACACTTCCCGTCCCCCTCGCTGCTCTGAGCTAGTTACGGCTCTGTCGTTTCCCCAATATTTTCTTGGATTTCCATCTCTAAACGGATTAAATCATTTAGGAATAGTGTGGTAAGCCACCATGAAAAGTATGTTTAGTTAAAATGAAATGAAATGGGGTTTAACGTCCTACTGTTCTGGGAAGACTGGGTATGCGTCATGCAGTGTGCTACGAGAGAAAATGTGTTCGGACAGCGGCGTTTCGTTCGGACTAGTTTTATTTCGTCAACTCAAGGATTATTTTACGTGCCCGTCCGAAGGACTAAAAAGAAAAAACCCGTCCTTCCTAACTCGAACATTCAATATCGTAGCAAATGTCTGGTTGACTTGATATTTTTCTAGTAGATTTATAAACAAACATTTTTAGTTTTTTAAAAAAAACCAAACAAAAACAAAATCTGAAAAGCACCGTTCCCCTTTTCACAAACTTAAAAACACCCGTTTCTTCAGTCTAGCCATAAATTCAATACCGTAGCACAATTCAAGTTTGATCTACCAATAATAGAACAGCCAATAATACATTCTACAGTAGATATCGCTTGTATGATAAATTTCATAATCTACTGCGATAGGAGATATCTGTTTACATGAATTTGATTGGTCAGTTAAAAGAACTACATTTTTATTTTCAAAGAACAGTTCATTTTTTTATGAAAAGTAACTTCTTTTTTTTTTATTAAAAATGAACTATTTTTATTTAATTGACCTTGATGGAAACACTTGGTTAATAATATAAAGGACTTTGCAATGGTTCAATCGCTGTCAAAAAATAATGTATCACTACGCCGTAATGTAATCATGTTCAGTAAAAGTGAAATCTATAGCAAAAAATTATATTTATTTATTTGTGCATGTTATCTGATATCAAAAAAGACTCGTGGGAGATTCTCTATTTCATACTATTTAATACCCCCCCCCCCCCCCGCCTACAAAACCCCCCAAAAAACAAAAAAAAATAACACCCCCCCCCCCCAAAAAAAAAAAATAAACAAAAAAAAAAAAACGTTAATATCACCTATCAGGACTAAGAATTTAATTATCTCCCGTGTGTTGCGACATCGATTTTTCCAATTTGTGCAGTATGATTCATCAATGTTTATCAATTTATGGAAGGAATGTAGAATGTATATCCTTTTAATTAAAACGTCAGAGCATTAAAGCTAGGCTTGCTTCCCAATGTAACGTAAATTGGTTTACAGGAGAATGTTAAAGAACGGAAATTTGAATATTCACCCAAACGTAACCCCCTGTTGTCACATATATCTAATATATCGTTATTAAATGTCATATTCATTGGTGCATAAGTTTATAAACTGACGTACAATATGTTATAACAAGTTATTGTCGTTTTAACCCAGTAGATTCCTGTCATACTTTATCTTGTATATGCTGCAAATTTGTCACAGCTTAGTGCAGTACACCAAGCTCTGTTACACACAATAAAACATAACGACCGAATGTTTTTAAAGAGGCCTTCTGTTTTAAAGTAGCTAAAAGTCTCTAACTCAATATCGACCATTGAAAACACGAATTATTTGTGATTTTAAATCAACAAGGATGTTGTGATCTTACCGGGAAAAGATGAACTTCTGATATCCAATATTCAAGACAAAATAAACATTTTAATATTGGTACATGAATCGTATGTAACAAAGGACTCTAAGAACGAGGCTAGATATATTTCACCATATATGGTCTCATTCTCTGATGTTTGTGCCCGAAAGATGGACATACATGGCCCGAAAAAAATGGACAGTTTACAGGCTCCTACGCCTATATAGGGAGTCCCGATGGCGTGACAAACCGAGATCCTGTGGATTTCATGGGCGACACGCTAAAGATCGTAGTCCGATCCTTAATGTAAATCCGCCGGCTTTTCAGGTAGAAATCGTGGAATAAGCTTTATTTTGAAGGTTTCGATGTTTAATGACAAAAAAACAATGTTGGCATTTTTCTGAGTAGGTCTTCATAATATGGGTGGCCATTATCTGAGGGTAGCCATTTTGCGATAATATTCCAAATTATTTTTTATTTTCACCTTATTTATAATGTTATCTAATTTTTTTGGCACTGTATTAATATTTCAGACTTTATTCCATCACTTCATAAAGATATTTCCAAGATGGCGGCCATTTTTGGTGGGAAAATTGGACGATTGTTTTGTTTTTGTTTTTTGTCATTAAACAACGAAACTTTCATAATAAAGCTTATTCCATTATTTCTGCCCGAAAAGCCGACGGATGGGAATTATGTAACAAACCGAATCAGACCATCGTCTGATC